CAAAAGGTCTATTGCTCTCGTTATGTTGAGGGACACGCTTTGACTCACACCGAAGAAACAAAACATCCTCTGGCCTTAAGCTTTGCTGACTTTTCTGTTTGGTGTTATCCGTGCAATTCTTATATTGACAATAAAGTGTTTGATGAGGCTAAAGAAGCTGCTATTCAATCCAAATTTGGAGGAAAGACTGAAGGTTAGAGAAGATTTAGCGCAAAGTTAACCCGACCCTCTGCCTTTCGAAAAATTTCTGGGTACTACTCCGTTATCCCTACGTGTTTTTGCAGACATTTTCTTCTGAAAATATACGCATAATGATCAGTTCCACCGATAAATTTATTATTAATGTCCATCATTTGAGCGTGTCACAGTGGATTGGATTGAAATTGAGGAATAAAAAAATGTCCGCAAAAAAAGTCCGCAAAAACACGTAAGGACAACGGAGTAGTACCATTTTCTGATATGTTTTTATATATTCCGCCAAGCTTTTCCAGAGATCTTAAGTCCCATCGTTATTTCTAGAACATCTAATTTTTAATTAATTTAAGTAGACAAAATGGACATTGAACCTGGAAAGAAAATTTATTCAATATCCTTCAATCAGGATTGCACTTATTTAGCGGTGGGACACGAGGATGGCTTTTGTTTCTACTCTTAGCTCAATTGATAAACTTGAAATTGAAAAAGATGAAAAAGGTTTATTTTTATCTATATTTTTATTAAAAATATTTTTTCTAGCTCCTGGTTGTTTTATTGTTGAGAGGCTGTTTAATAAATCTTTGATAACTTATGCTTCAATGAAAGATACAAAAAAATTAAAGGTTTATTATAGTTTATTGATTATTGTCTTCGATCTAATTTGGTAGTTGTGGGTTATCCCAAACAAGTTTTTATAGACATATTTTGCGGACTCGCTTACGGAATGGCCATATTCTGTACATATGATTGCGTACAAATTCATAAGTACCTTAGATTTATTTAGAATCCCCGAGTTTAGGAATCCCCGTTAGCTTGTCAGTGAATTGAGGAATTGTGGGCAAAGAAGAGGGGGGTCGACCCCCGGGATTGCCATTAAATGGAGACCCCCGGGATTGCCACTAAATCGGATTTTATTTTTTGGTTAAATTTCAACATATTCTAGATTTTGAAAGTAAGGTGGTCTTACACATACCCCAGCCATATACTTGCTGTCCGAATAAATAATAAGGTTTATAGTTATTTTACCATTAATTGTTTAATATTCTAAATTTAAGATGGTTGTGGTCTGTTTAGAGGATTCTATTCACATTCACAATAAGGTCAACGTGAAGGTTTATTTATTTTTAAATTTCTGGAAAATTTTTTTAAATATAGAAATTACAACTCCCTCAATCCCTCGATATTCCATCAAATCCCCAAGGAATTGTGGATCTTTCAATTGATGACAACAATTGCTTCCTTGCCTTTCCTGCTTCTTCAAACACTGGACATGTGTAAGGATTTTTAATTTATAAGGAGCCATCTTTTTCTGTAAGTCCGAATTTGATATATTTTTGATACTATTCGATAGGGGACCTCCGACTTAATATTGTAAAGTGATATCGGTTTGCTTGCAAAATCACTTTGGGCCGAGTTACGGCCGTTCAAATTTTTGGTTTTTGGTAGGTTTGACTATACGCAAATCGGTTGACTATACGCCCCCTGAAATCGTCCTCCTGGCTAAACCCTTGTAACAGGGATTTTACGTGTTGAGAAAAGAAGCCGAGTCGGTTGCAGTTCGGGCATTCAGCATTTTCTTCGGGTTTCGGGTCAAAATAGTCCGGGTATCGAAACTGTCGGGTAACCCGTGACATCCCTTTTTTGTAATCTAAATTTAATTTTCCCATTTTAAGACACATTTTTGATGCCGAGAATTTAAATACTGTTTGTCAAATACGTGCTCATGATAGTGTTTTGGCTGCTGTTAAATTTAACCCGGATGGAGACAAACTTGCTACAGGATCGGAGAAGGTTTTGAATTTTGATTATTATTTTTTTAAGTGCCCCCTCCCCTTCACTTTTTTGATAAGTGGGATATTTTGGGTTTCCCTGAATTCCCTTTACTATCAAAATTTATTGCTAGATTCTTTAAAATATTCTCAATTTAAGGGAACTGTGATTCGTGTTTTCTCAATTCCTGGTGGAGAACGTTTATTTGAATTTGTCTGTGGAGTCAATTGCTGTGTTCAAATAAGCTCTCTTGCCTTCTCCCAAGATTCTCGATTTTTGTGTCAATCATCAAACACTGAAACTGTTCATGTGTTTTCCTTGGCTAGACGTGATCAACAATTGGAGAGAAAAGAAAGTTTTGCCATAGCTAAATTGCCTATATATGGACATAAAACTGTTGTGGCTATGCCTAAAATTCAGGTTTTTTTTTAATTACATAATTTCATCAAAAAATAAATTTTAGGGAATTGATTACTTAATTGTTGCGAGTATGGAAGGCTATCTTTTCTGGTACTCGTTGCCTACTTCTAGCGATGTCAGTGAATGCAAGCTTCTACGCCAGTACAAAATTGGGCCTAAAAAACAACAAGAACAACAAAATTTGTCTTCAAATATTTCTGAAGAAGATTTGCTTCCTGCTCCAATTAAAGTGAAGATACGTGATTGTTCTACAATGTGTGGACAAAGAGTTCAAATTTTTGGTTTTGTACATCGCTGTCGACAACAAAGTTTGTTTTTTTTAGGATTTTGGGTTCCCTTTAATTTTGAGATTTGGAGGGTCCGGGTTTGAATCTTGCTCTTGAATCCTGCCGATTTTTTACCTTGAGTCAAGGAAAAATCGAGGAACCCTGAAAGATGCCTCGATCTTGACTCGGAATCTGGGAAAAATCAGGGCCTGGATCCGGATCCAAGCTGATCTCTATGTCTCTATGTTTTCCCTTAATGTTTTGGGGTTGGATGGCCCTTGGTTCGAATCTTCCTCTGGAACCTCAATTTAAAACTAAAAATCTCTTTCAAAATTTTTCCTTTTTTTTATAGGAAAGGACTTGATAGTTGTTCTTCGAGATGGGACTGGCTTTTTGCAATGTGTTCTGAGTGGAGTACTTTGCCAAACTTCTGAAGCTTTAACATTGACTACGGAAAGCTCTGTTTGCATATACGGAACGGTTTGCTTCTTTCTCTTTAATTTATTCACTAGAGTTGGACGAGACCGGTTAAATGTCTCGTTTATTTTTTCCTATGGCGGGTCTTTTTTCTTTTTCCTTTTTTCTTTTTTTACCCGCCGCAGGGAATACCGGTCTCATCCACCTCTATTATTTACCTTAAATCAGGTGAACAAACCCCCTAAAAGAAAGACGGCCCCAGGTGGTGTAGAACTCGTTGCTGATTTTTGGACTTTAATTCATGGAGCACCGCCCGGTGGGATTGACAATGTGTTAAATGCTGAGGCAAATTCTGATGTTAATCTGGACAATCGTCATTTGTGTATTAGAGGAGAAAATTGTTCTGAAATTCTTCGAATCCGAGCGGCCGTAACGCGTGCAATAAGGGAACATTTTTATTCTCGCAAATATGTCGAAGTATGCCCTCCAACACTTGTTCAAACGCAGGTTTATTTAGAATCAACTTTTTAGAGTTTAACTGCTAAATTTTAGGTTGAAGGAAGCTCTACATTTTTTTCCATTGACTTTTTTGGTGAACAGGCTTATTTAACTCAATCGTCGCAGCTTTATTTGGAAACATGCATTTCTTCTCTGGGAGATTGTTATTGTATAGCGCAGTCTTATAGAGCGGAGAAATCTCGAACGAGTCGACATTTGGCTGAAAACTCTCATGTTGAGGCAGAATGTCCATTTATTACTTTTGAAGGTTTTTTTGAATTTTTAGAAATTTTTTTGAATTTTTTATTTTTTTAGAATTGATGAATAAAATTGAGGATCTTGTTTCTGATGTAGTTGAGAGGGTTTTGAGTGATCCTGAAGTTTCTAAATTAATATTACAACGATGGAAAACGTCAAAGGTTTTTTTAAGAGTTATTTAAGCACTATAGCCGGCACGGGACAGGACCCCGTACAGGATTTTACGGATCTCGTCCCGGAATCCCAGGTTTTTATCGAAACACGAGATTACTGGATTAATCCCGCGGGATCCCGTCCATACAAAATTTTGAAAGAAAATCCCGTTACCGGATCCCGGGAATGCGATTTTACCGACTTCTAGTAAGTAGTTTACTGGTTTTGTTGAAAAAAGAGGAAGAAATGTTCCGTTATTTTTTGAGATTAGTCAATAGGTAAAAGAGTCTCCTTAGAGAACCCCCCAGAGATTCGACCTAGTCTAATTTAGTCCGTGTTTCAGAATAAATAAAATATGAATTGATATTCGGATTCGGCAAACTCGATTGCTTATTGAAATCTAAAAATATCGCAACAGCACTTTTTCATATTTTTACAAAGATCAGTAAACTAAAATTTATTACCAAAAATATCCTTAAATTAATTTTTCCTATTTTTTTCAGAAAAAATTTCCTTCATTTAAACGTCCTTTTCTTCGAATGACTTATGCTGATGCAATTGAATGGCTGCGCAAAAATAATGTGAATAACAAAGAAGGGAAGCCTTTTAATTTTGGAGAATTCATTCCACAGGGTTCTGGACGACAAATGCTTGATACAATTGGACAGGTTTTTTTTCTAATTTTTTTTTAATTTAAAAAAAAAATTTTTTTTTAAAGCCAATCTTGTTGAATCGTTTCCCAGCTGGCACCAAAGCTTCTCGTTGTGAAGATGAAGACATGAACACTTCTCGTTGTGAAGATGAAGAAGGAAAGAAGAAGAATTTGACAGAATCTGTAAATTTCTTACTGCCTGGAATTGGAAAAGTTGTTGGTGGTTCAATGAGGATTTGGAAGGAAAAGGAAATTTTGGAAGCTTTTAAAATAACCAATGTGGACCCTAAACATTATTATTGGTATGTAGACCAAAGGAAGTATGGTGGATGCCCACATGGAGGTTTTGGACTTGAATTGGAACGGTTTGTTTGTTGGTTAGCTAATCAAGACCATATAAGGGATGTTTGTTTATATCCTCGATTTATTGGACGATGTGCCCCATAAAGATTTTTTTATTAAATTCTAGACTAGGACATGGATACGGATATGATAAAAATGCCTACGGATATCCGTCTGTATCCGCCGTAAATATCCGGATACGGATACCAAAATCAGTATCCGTGTCCTAATCTGGTTAATTCATAAAAGATTTTAATTTATTTAAATTATTTATAGTCGTTATTGTGTGAGCTTATTTTTGAAATTATTGTCCCAAAAAGACCATTTATGTGTGATTGTTTAAAAATTATTTTTTTTAATTGTTGGTAAAATTTCTAGAAATTTTTTTAAGATTTGACATATAAAATTTAGGTTACTTAGTAAGTCATGGGCTATCCATGCTATTTTTCCGACTCGAAACCGTTCCCAGAAATTTTTCCAAAACTCGGCTAACTTTCTCCAATTGTTGTCCCAGAACTTTTTTAAGCCCCAAAACCCGCTCCGAAGAAAATTTTAAAAATCAGACTCGATGACATCCCTGATACCTATAAAAATATTTCTAACAATAAGATAGGGTTTATTGACATTGGCATAGGTGTTGGAGCAACATATTGCTGTTGTAGTTGTGGAGGTTGTTGGTGAAGTAGTGCTGATGGTGGTGGAATTTGAGGAGAAGCAACACGAGGTGTTGCTATTGTAGGCGGTACAAGTGTTAGTGGTGTAGAGTAAAGACAAGAGGAACTTGTTGTGGGAAAGGTGGGGGTGGCAAAAGTTTATACCCTTTCGGATGGTATATAAAATTTGTGAAGACATTACTTTGTATAAGCTTTAAAAACATTTTTTAATTCAAACACATTTTATACAAAAAAATTTATTCCCATGTTTGGAATTTTCTATTAATAAGAGAAAAGAATTTTTGATTGTAAGGCCTAAAATGTTCTATTAATGAGAGTCTAAATTTTGATGAAATTTTGAGATGTTTTCTGCCCTTGCTTTTGCCTAGACAGTGAATTGTTGAATTTAAATTTTGTCGGAAGCAATAAAAATTTTTTTGTTTATTAAAAATTAGTTGAGTTGAATTGATGGAAGGCTCTAAACCGAGAAATCGTTCGGCTATTTTTAACTAAAAAAAAATTTTTTTTTAATTCCATAAAAATTAACATGCCTGACTTAAAGGGTCTTCAATAAATTTATCTCCATCTATAATTAAAAATTGTTTTAATGGAAAATAGTTTAGCCATCTGTTTAAATGTTCGGCATATAGTGAATTACGAATGGGTTTAAACCTATGTTTTAAAATAATGTTTTAATTAAAGTTTATTTAAAACAAGTCTGTAATAAAACAAGTTTATTAAATAAACTTGTTTGTGAATAAGTTTGTTTTAAAGTTTATTAAAACATGCGTATTAAAACATGTTTTTTAAACAAGTTTATTAAATCAACGTGTTTTTCTAAACAAGTTTATTTAAAAAATGTCAAAACATGTTTATCTAAAACATGTTTATTAAAATAAACTTGTTTGTGGATGTTTGTTTTACAAGGTTATTAAAACAAGTTTATTAAATATGTAATAAAACATGTTTATTAAGACAACGTGTTTTTCTGAACAAGTTTATTTAAAAAATGTTCAAAACAAGTTTTATTAAAACATGTTTATTCATGTTTATTCAGGTTTTTAATTAAAAATTAGTTCACCGTTTATTTAATTGTACCGAACCATTACAATTTTTAATAAAAGACATTTTTTCAAAATTAATTGTTGGTTTATTCCTTTCTTTTTTTGTTTGTAAAATTTGTGTAAAATCACTAACTATTTTTTAAATTAATTTTAAATTAAAATTTTCTAATTTACCAGTTCTAGTAACAGGCGAACGCACTATGAGAATAAATTTAATTTTTGGGTTAAATTGAAATACTCGTTGGGGAACTTGTGGATTTGCAGTAAAATAGGCGGGAGTCTTCTCTATTATTACCTTAAAATTAGAAAAAAATTTTTCTGAAAATTAAAATTTTTTTTTAAATTTCTTCTCACGTCATCTGGACATGCCTTTGGCATTTGTTTACTATACCAATCCAATCCGCGACGAAAATTTTTTTCTTTATCAAAAAAGTGGACCTCATGTCTTTCAAATTAATTAAAAATTTACTAAAATATTTTTAAAAATTAAATTACCGGGCAATTTTAACTTTGGGGTGTAATGCAAGGGCGTCCAATAAAGCTCGAGTTCCCCCCTTTCGAACACCAATAATTAAAAAATTTGGTAAATTACTAAAAATTAAATTGATAAATTTAAAATTAATTTTGCCTATAATTTTGATTTTTATTAATTTCAATATTTTTTAATATTGTTGACTGGGAAGTATTAAAAGTTGTGTTGTTGTGAAAGAATAGTTGACAAACTGCTAATAGAGAAACAAAACAAATTGAAACAAACAGGCGTCGAAAGAGAATTAAAACATTGTTTTTATTAAAACATGTCAACAAATGTTGGCAAGTGTTTTTGCCCATTGTTGTTAAAGTTTGGAATAGCCATCAAGTTGGGAAAATTACTAAAACATTAAATAAAACATGTTTGGGGAAACAAAAACAAGTTTAAATAAAAACAAGTTTATTTATTTAAAAAGTTTTTAAAAACAGGTTTGTTTATTTATTCTGCAAAAACATGTTTGTTAAAAAATATGTTTTTATCAAAACATTTCAAGTTTTGTCTAAACAAGTTTATTATAAACAAGTTTATTATAAACAAGTTTATTTATAAACAAGTTTATTTATTTATAAACATTTTGTTTAGCTGTTCCACAAAAACAAGTTTATTAAATTATTAACTCAACAAAACATGTTTATAAGTAATAAAACATAAAATGTCATTTTTTTGTTCAACGGTTAAAGATTACTATTTTTAGTCTATAAAATTATGAATAAAAAATATAATTTAATATTTTGCAATAAAATTTGAGGAAATTTGTTGAAAATGACTTTTATTCTTTTTTTATGCTTTGCATAAAAATATTCATTTTTTGCTATTTGGCACAGGGTTAGCCCCCATAAAGGTAGGGGGAAGAGGGGAGGTTTTTGGCTTAGTTGACAAGCAAAACCACTTTTAGGAGGAAAAGGCTTCCCTTTAATATTTAATAGATGATCTCTAGCCAATATAGTTAATAATAAGGCAAAATCCAAATTATTATTATTGCCGGTTAAAAGAGAAAAGAATGTTGTTGCAACATATGTTTGGCTTTATACTTAATAATTATATCTAGGGTATTTTTAATTATTTTTATTTTGCCAGCTATGAGATTGAAAATAAAAATAATTAGGTAGCACATAAAAAAATAAATTTTTAAAAATAAATTATAATTTAACAGAATAAAATGAAAAATATTTTTACTAATTTTAAAGTGAATGATGTTAAATATAAATAATTTTGTTTGTGATCAATCTTATTAGTTTAGAAAAAAGATTAAAAGTTCCAGGAGAAATAAACAGCTGTTGTCATATACCACAAAAACAATAAGAAATAATTATTTGTTTGTTTGAAATAAGAAAAACTTATTTAAAATGTTTAAGTTTTAATTTTAGTTGTTTATGTTAAAAACAAGTTTATTAAAATTGTAATGTTTTTATTAAACATGTTTTTATTAAACATGTTTTTATTAAACTTGTTTTTATTAAACTTGTTTTTATTAAACTTGTTTTTATTAAACTTGTTTTGAATTAAACTTGTTTTGAATTAAACTTGTTTTTATTAAACTTGTTTTTGTTAAATAGGGGGTGGGGGGAAAGGAAAAAATTTGGGGAGGGTATTGGATTTTTTGGCCTATGGCTTTCGAAATTTTAAAAAACGGAAGAGCGCTAAAAACGGAAGAAATTTGGCTGTTTGGCCTTCTAAAATTCTCAAAATTTTCCCGTTGCCCCCCCCCCTCCTCAAAAAAAGTCTTGGTTACGGGCTTGATATCCTTATTATTTTTTCTAAGATTTTATTTAAAACAAACATTTCTTCTTTCACATCAATTTTTTCATTGATTCTTTTTTATTTTGTATTTTTTCAACAATATCAGTTAAATACTCCATGTTTAATTCATAGTTTAGTCTGGCATTCAAATCATGGTCTTTGTAAAATAATCTAAATTTTTTAAGTTATTTTACATTTATTAAAAAAAGGACCTTAGCATTTCTGACAATTTTTTCCTCTTCAGTTTCATCTTCATTTACTATTTTTTCAGGAGACATTAACATTTTTAGATTTGGTGTTTCTTAATTCAAAAAATTATTTTTAGGGATCCAAGATTGCTGTGACCAACCAAATGAAAAAATTTTATACTAGTGGGTCATTTGATAACTTTTTTGGCTTTTTTATTCTTGGTTTCGAAATTTAAAGGTTTTAAACCCCAGACTTTTTTTATCGTAAAAACCGTTTAAAAAGGAGAAGAGAAGAGAAAAGGTAATATTAGAGTAATTGGTTGTGTCCATTAAAAAAAACAAAGGGAATACAAAGAGACATTTTGAAAGGTGGTCACAGCAGTTATATTTTTTAGTTTTTTTTCATTTTAAAAATTTTTTCTACCTTTGAGAATCGATCGCAGCGGTCAATTCTTGGCAAATTAATCTTCGATAAGAAGATATGTCCTGCTGCGAAAAATTTAATGGTTTATTGGCCATCCCAAATCTGGCGTAGAGAAGGGAATAGACGCCGCAATCAATTCCTCCTTTCTGCCTCGGGACATCAAATTTTTCGAGCCTTGTCCAGGAGTCCCGCGGGCCAATATCGACTTTACATTGTAAAGCTGCTAGAAGCAGTATATCCCTTAATTTTTATCCATAATAATTTATATTTTTAATTTTGTTTTTTCATTAATCTTAATATTTTTTTCTTATTATTTTACTCAAAATAATCTATCCCTTAATTCTCTATCCAAAAATAATTTATTTTTTTAATTTTTCCTAATCTCAATTTTTTCTTATCATTTTCTTAAACTAATCTTTCGGAACCTCCTCCACCTCCTCTACTTTCCTCAAAATATTAAACTTGGTCCAACTGTTGTTTTTTGTTCAAACAGTTATACATACC